TGTTTAATTGTTATAGTGGTGGCACAAGTTTAACATTCGGCGGGAGGGATATCTTTAAAATCACTTATATTTTTATTTTTTTCGTCATCATTCAATAACATTATAATACAAATACCTATGTAACAGAATAATAATAAAAGCTGATGCGTAGGTATAAGTGTATAATAACTGAGCTTAGCTCATATGTGGTACCTACATAGAGTTCCTAGATAAATATAATTAATTTACAGAAAATTTTTTATACAACTGAAAAGTTTACTTAACTCTCTATGTTGCTTAAATATTTATATTTATACACATCGACTTTTTACAATTTGATTGACACACACACACATTCTCTTCAAGGTCGACTATTATTTTATTAATTGTTTTTTTTTTATATGACTTTTATTATTTATATCATTGGTTTTATGAGAATGAATTTCTCATAAACTTCTTATTAGACTTTTTATATCATTTTCTAAGTTGTTGAATATAGTTATTGCTATATATATATATATATTCATTATTAGGGGAACTACTTGAACTAGTTAAATGCTATACCTATAAAGTACTTTTATGTAGGTACTTTTCAAATCTGCTATCTATTTTTTTTATATCATCAATAGGTGCCTTGCCATGGATTTTATAACAATTATTTAATGTATCATTAATTATAGATAGACAATGTGTTTGCATGGCTGGAGCCCCCAACTTAAGTGCTTGAAAAAAATAAGCTGGACCCCGTCCATGAAAAATTCCTAGATACGCCACTGCTGGGAATACCTTATACAATATAATATTTAACAATTAACAAGCATTTATTTTATGATATTATATGATGTGGCTTATTACGTAGGTACCAGTTTTTTTTGTTATAACTTATACTATGCAAATAGGTTTAAAATTAAAAGGAAAATGTAAAACCTAATACATTTCAAAACTAAATATCTTTTGGTTACATTTTATAATTTAAATATATTCTTTTAATTTAATGTTAAATTTTGTACTTCTGATAAATATTTTATGTTGTTGCTTATTGCATGTTTTTGTTCAATATTTTTATATGCTAAAGAAATAGAAAATAATAAAAAAAAAAATGAAACATTTTTTCCGGGGTGTATAAAAGAATTATTATGAACGTCATTTTTAAAAACTCCTAATTGTTGTAATATTTATTTCCTATAGGTGTCTAGTGTCTACATATGAACATATATATATATATGTATTAAACATATTTTTCATACAGACCTATACATATATACTCTTTTAAAGTGATTTTTACAATACATGTTAAGTCCTCGGTTTTAATTAATATTTGCATCTAACCCAGCCTATAACTAAACCAAATATTAATAAATAATGTATAATGAAATATTTAAACTTAAAAGGCATAATAAAATGTTAACAAAACATAACATTTTTTCATTATGTGGGACTGATTGTTGAATATGTATAAACATACATACAATAATGTTTAATACAATTTTTTTAACTTTTTGATAATTGACAAATTAAAATGAAATAATAATAATAATAATAATAATAATAATACAGTTAGGTGCCTATGTAAAACAATTATTATTTTTCTATTCCTACTTACTAGCAACCAATCTCCACTTTAAAATTTGATCAGGGTTAAATGAATAAATGGATATTATTTTTATTGCAACTATAATGATGATAGTGAATGATTCAATTTGATTCTCCTAGACATACGTTTTCAATCATATGGCGCAGATATGGAATACTTTTACATACCTTCTTATTTTTATTATTAAATTGCCCATTGACTATCACATTCTACAGCATCTATTTAGCTAAATATGTAATTTGGTATGTAAATGAATCATAATGATTCCATTAAAAACATAATTTTTCAATGACACGAAAAACAATTTTCAACAGCACAATTGTTTTTCAGTTTAACAGTGCCTTAGAATATATCCTGATATTTGCAATCAAATATGACTCAACCTTTAAACTCGGTAATGCATTTCAAATCAAATTATTAAAGTTTATTTGTTGAACATTTTTTGAGACCACGAGTAAAGATCGGTAGTTATAGTCTATAGCTTTTGGTGAGTCAATGTGAGTTTATCATTTTACAAGTTAGAACTTAAAAGTAAAAGAATAATCAAATTATATGGTATAAAATGTTAAATTTGAACTATAAAATTATTATTAATACTTAGATACATAAATATAAATGTACAACAAAAAATATATATTCGTTAATGAATAATAAATAATAAAATAAAAATTGAATTTTCGAAGAGAGCAGTTTTTATGGGTATAGAATCTAATTATATTGCGATTATAAGACCACAATATTCATTGCCTTAAGCTCATTAAACTAGTCTATATCTTTATTTTAATTTATATGTACTCATACAGTAAAATGTTCTTAAGTAGGTTATAGTATTGTTATATCAATGTACCATTTCATATTTTCATAGCAAGATAAATTAATTAATACGATTAAAATGATATTAACACATAACATCAAACCTGCATAGTTAAAAAAATAATACTTTAATTCAAGTATTGTGCAATTGCGCACAGGTAACAGGTATAGATAAGTAATATGTTTAATTAGTGATAAATTATAATACATAATACACGTTATTTGTGTATGTTAAAATTAGACATAGTGATTAGTGGTTACACATTTAAGTAGGTAGATTTTAAATCATTGTATGATATTTTAATAAAAATTGTGTTTAGAAAATAAATAAATACAAATTATAATTTTAAATTTTAGGTTCAAAGATTGGTAAAAACATATTAATTAAATGTTAACAAAAAAATGTATTGCTTAATTTTTCCAATAAGTTATTGGATAAATAAATGGAATCTTCCAATTGTAAATCTAAAGACTTCCCATGTTATTCTCATACTTTTAATAATTAAACACAGTCAATGTTATAAATTCATATAGCCATATGGTAGCTTTTGCGATAGCATAAATAATATAACTGAAAAATAGTATAATGATTAGTAGTCTATACAAAAATAAAAATAAAGTGTATAATTGTCTTTAAATTTACAGATTTTACCACAGGTAGTAACATTTCTAAATAATTAGTTCCAATTATTGATTCATTTTTGAAAAAGTGATACTAGTTCAAAGAACATGCAAAAAAAGGCTTTGAAAAGTATTAACCATAAATGGTATTGTGTTTGTTTATAAAATATCATTATAACTTATTAACAAAATTTTATCTTTAAGCTAGAAATACTTAATTTAGTACTGAAATTGAAATCAAGTATTAATAACTTATGTTGACAATGTACACTTATTTTTATAATTTAATATTATATTTTTGTTTCATAATTATTTAAGAATGAAATTGTATCATTTATTTATTAGAATTAAGTATTATATTTATAATATTAACAACAATTAACTAAAAACTTATATACCTACTATAATTTATTATTATTTGTTAAAATGATAAACAATTTCAAATTATTCTGTCTATCAATATTTATCATGGTTAATGCCATCTATCATCTTCACCTATGTTATCACTTATCAGTCTTCATGAGTTTTAATTTACACATGCCACCCGAATGGCATAAAAGTTCCATGAAATCAAAATTAAAAAATACTAAATTTACCTAATACGCTAGGTAAATATTGGGTATTCACCAACAATTGTATTTACCCACCACTACCCATTAGTGTGTAGGACTAAAAAAAAAATAGTTGTAGAAGTATCAATTATGCATTACATGAAAATTAACCACTACAGACAATTTATACCTTAAAACTAAATAGTGGTATACATATTTTTAATTTCAGAATAAATTCATAAAACATTTTTTTTAAAATTTTTTATTATGACGCTCCAATATGAATAGTTTTCACGGTAAACATGATCATATTCTTATATTAAACGAGATTAACATTCAGAGGATAATATTATTACATACATATTAAATGATTTGCCGAGTTTGTTATTTCATGGCGAGATAATTTAGAACACTTTTCTTAGTACCCATCATATAAGTTTAAAAAAAAAACATGATTTGTCATTTTGTAGTACACATATTATATGAGTAATGATTTCATTACTACATAGGTCCAAACATACATTAGGTTCCATATAATGATATATCTCATGATCAATCAAATAACAAATAATCGGAATACCCGATTGGTGGTCTGTGTAAATTAGAACCTAGACGAGTATTATTTATTGTATGTGTAATATTATATTATTTTTTTTGTATATAGATGAGTTTTTGAAAAATAATTTACTACAATATATTAAATATATTAATGTATAATACAATGATAAATAGTGATCAAAGTGAAAGGAATAATGCGACACTTTTGTTACGATAATTGAAATATTTAGTTAAATAAACATTTAAAAATAAGAATAAAACACCTTGTGTAATTAATACAAGACATGTAGAAATAGTATTAATTTATATTGCAACTGTACACTCTCCGTGAGTGCAATTCATTTATAAAATAATAAGATATACATAACATACAAAAAAAATTAACTACAGTAGGGTGTTTGTGCACTAGTTTGTGCTGTACAATTAACACACCTACTAGTTTGATTATTTTATAAAATAAAACATAAAATGAACTATCATTATTATTATTATTGTTATTCATTCACATCCTTAGTAACTTGGGTCCAATATATATTATTTCATTATTTTATTTTCATATTATTTGCTTTTAGAATCTAAACTAGGTAAAAAAAAAAAATAATAATAATAAATAATAATAAAATAAACAGTACATTGATAAATAAAAATAATATATGCATGTATATAGACATATAAAATAAGATTATATAAATAATAAATCATTAAAACGGGTTTAACAATATATAGAACGTAATATTATACAGTACGATTAGAGAACACACTTAATACGTTGTGCAATTATTAAGTTAGTTCCATGGTTTGGACAACACAAAGAACACAATGTACAATATGTTTATTAAGAAGACCATAATGGTTCAAATATATTATAATAAACATTTTATCAGTTCGGATACAATATAAAGTTTCTCTTTTCTTTTTGTGTAATTGGAATTAGTTGTTTTATGTATAATTAGATAGAAAATAAATAAATAATATAAACATTTACACGTTTATAAAGAAATATATAAAAAAAAAAACAGTAATAGTAAAATAAATAATTAAACCACCAATGAAAATTTTACTATTCTACTAACAATAATATTGTCTATAAATTGGTTCAGTTGATTTGTTTTTTATAAGCATAAAATAAAGAAAAGTAAACAATTACTTCAAACATTTTATTTTAAATTAATTAATTTTGTTGTCAATATTAAGGAATTAGGGCTCATACTATAAATGAATATACTAAATATTGGCCTACAAACACTTATATGTTAGATATATATAAATGCATAAATGGTACCTATAATTACACTTCTGTAATCCTTTAATAAATACATACACAGAATTATTTATATATATATTTAAATATATATTTATAAACATTTTTTTTTATTTATATGTATTTGCACATCCTTACAATTATGGGTTTGTTAAGTAATATTTATTAAACAACTATTAGAATTGAAAATTGTTAACAAGTCGAAATACATTTATTATAATTTAAAAAAAAAATGAATTTTAATTAAATGCTAAATTTTTCTAAGCTACAAACATCAATTTATTTAGTGTCAAAAAATGCTGTTCATAAGGACAAAAGAATAAAGAATTTCAATTTTTACTCTATTGTATTTTAGACACAATAACTATAAATGAGTACCATGTGTGATTGTACAAATTTTGTAATAACAGAAGTTATAAATGATTATGTTTGTTCGTTATCACAAGAATATTATTGTGCGTCATACGTACAGGTACAATATATGGCAACGATGACCATTTATTTAATATTTAAATAAATAAAAGATGCATGATCAAAGAATATTATGCCAGATTGAAACATAGTAGGTATATAAATAAGGAATTGTATGATCAATGTTTTAGGTTGAAAAAAATTTGTCTTATGAGTAGGTATATGAATAAGGAATTGCATGATCAATGTTTTAGTTGAAAAAAATGTGTCTTACGAGTTGGATTGGATCTATTAGCTTTTCATGGCGCAAACATGTACTGACATAAAACTATGTTTTGGATAGATATAAAAAATTTTTCAACTATTTGATAAAAAATAATTTAAGATTAATTTGAATCTAATGTTTCCCAAACAGAAAATTAATTATCAAAATTGTTTTTGTTATAGTTAGAACTTAATGCGTTTCGTAAATGTATAACAATAAATTAAGATTGTGAAGGGTAGTAGAGCACACAATTTTGGAAAATACTCATCAAGTTTTAACAGGTAAACCTATTATACTTATAACTGGTGTTTATTTGTAACCCTGGATGATTGAAAACGCGATTCAAAACAATTAATGAAATAATACAATAATAATGTTAAGCTCAATTAAGAAAAAAGACCAACTAAAATAATATATTCAGACTAGATTTTGACTTAAATACATGATTTATATTCAATCCAAATGTACACAAATTACATAGCAGCTAATATAATTGTATCAGTATACTCAAAACCCAGAAATTAAAAAATGTTAACATAGGTACAAACGGTTTTTAATACGCTACATTTCTTTAGTTGATTATTTAGTTATTTTAAAATTTATGTATTTAAAGAAACGGGCTATATATAATATTGATAAAAGAAATATTTAGTTATAAGATTAGTATTGGAATAATCGATAATATAAATTTTTTTTAAGTTTATGTATTATGCCATGGGAGGTTTGAGTTTATGGTGTTTTCAAAGTTGATGAATAATTCAATGAATTCAGTATTATGTCATGGTTGATTTATTGCAAATCTAAACCTAATGTGCTGATTTTTAAATTACCGAGAAACAACAGTTATTATTGGCAGCATAAATTTCAAAACAATCACAATTTTATAATTGGAACGTTTGTTAATGAGAAAATATTTAACACAAAATGATTGATGAGTTATTAACTTTAAATTGAGAAATGATAGGTAGCAGATTTTATTTTAAGACGAAATTTATATTTAACTAAATGTTGGCACTTTGATGGAAAACTGTGTTAAGAATATTAATTTTTTAAATAACATTTCAAAAATAGAGAAAAAATGTAATGTTTTCAAAAAATGCAGTTAGAAAAATAAGGAATTATTGACACATTCGATTTACAAACAAAAACGGCCAATTACACATTGTTGTTAATTTGTGTAAATGTTTTATAATTAATGGTATTTACAAAGATCCAGGCCTCAGAAAATATTACAATTTTGGCTATATCCAATAATGAACAATAAAATAATAATAATAATAATAATAATAATAATAATAATAATTAGGTACTTATAAATTAAAAAAAAAAAAGTACAAAAGCAATTTGGAAAAGTCGATTTAGCCATTTAAAATAAAAATTAGTAAGCAATAACAAATTTAGCATTGACTCATAAAACAATATTTTTACCACATTGTTAAACATTCCTTTTTTTCTACGTGGATTGTTGGCATTGATTGTTGTTTCATCATTGTTATTAAGCTATTTAAAGAAGAGCGCACAGCGACTTCTTTTTTTGTTTCTGTTTTTTCTCTGGACTTTTTTTGTTGATCTGTCTCACTAAGTCATAGAATATCTAAAACAAATAAATAAATAAACATATTTAGCATTCATCATTTTATAGCCCAATTTAAATGAAAAAAATAAACTAACATTTTGTACGTTGATGTACTTATAATATTTAGTATGGATGATGTTTATGAAATTAAATTAGTTTAAATAAAAAAAAATTGTATTCAGTATCATGCACTGTCTTTAAGTCTTATGTTATAAACTTAAATCCTAGTTATATAAAAACAAAAATTAAAAATATTTGTTAATATAAAATCAAATTTATTTTGACAATTCAGTTACTTATAATATTATGTTCTAACAAGAAAGATTTAAGTGGTTTAATGTAATATTATAATAAAGTTACTATTAATTCTGGCAATTAAGACAGGATAATAGTATATTATAATATTATTAAAAGGTAATACTGTTAATGTTCAAACATTGAAAGAAATGAGTTTTTAATGTTATAACAAATTCAATTTTTTTTAAATACGTAAAATAAATAAACAAAATAAAAAATAGAAGAATGGAAATGTTCTATATTAAGTAAATACAAATTACTAGTTTATTCTAATTTTGATGATGAAAATTTATACTAATTTATTAAAATACTCACACTTTGATGTTTCTAAAAAAAAAAAAAAAAAATTATAATAATAATAGAGGGAATGAAATTAAGATATTAATATACATATAAGCAAATCATGTCTATTTCACACTACTATACTATCAATAAAATATAATACACACATACATATATATATATGAAATTATAATACTTACATCAATGACATTGATTTTAGCTTTAGCGGATGTTTCCATAAAAGCACAATTGAATTGACGAGCAAGATTCACTCCATGTTCTTTACCGACTACTCTTTCTTCTTCTAAATCACACTTGTTTCCCACTAATACCATGGGGACATCATCAGTGTCCTAATTTTTTAATTTGAATTCATTAATATAGGCAGGAGGTTATTAAAGTAATAATTGTTTTGTTTAAAAAATAATTATACCTTCACTCTTAAAATTTGTTCTCTTAAATCTTGTAAGTCATTAAATGTTGATTGTGCTGTAATAGAATATACGAGAACAAAGCCTTGGCCGTTTTTCATATACAAATCTCTCATTGCTGTAAATTGTTCCTGTAAACAATTTATTATGTAAGCATCAATACATACATTTTTAAATAAAATATCTCAAGGATATTATTCAAAAAATTATTTGATTTGATTTTCTTGCATTATTGATATTAAATGACAAAGAATTTATAATTTATTTTCCTTATTGAAATATAAGATCTATATTTATGGTGAACAATTAGTATGTGTTAATATTATATATTAATATTAGTCAACCGTGTTAATGAAGTAATAAATAGAAATACATAATATTTTCATAATAAACTTTAATGTGAACAGCCATCCATTAATACAACTCAGTTGACATTAAAAAAAAAAATTTTCGTAAGCTGTATTAATCCTAGTCTGTTTGTACATCATAACAAATTTTATATTGCATTAAAAATATACAATTTTACAAGATAGAAATGAACAAGTCCATTACTAAAATCTAAAACAGACTTAACCTTTTTTTACAGCGGGACAAAATTGTTTGGGAAGAAATTGAGTAATTTATTAACATTTTATAGTTTTATTTGATAATCTTGTTTTTATTGACCTAAATAATTTCTGCACAATAACAACTCAAATATAATATACAAAGCTAGGATTTTGTAGTTCAAAATCAATACATAATTCAGCAAGGCGACAAAATATAATTAGAAGTTTCCACACTAATGATGATCTACAATCATTATAAACCCTATATTTCCAAGAATTGTGTTGGTATATAAGTACACATACGGTAGGTATATGTACTAACCTAACCATAGTAAACATATTATATTATTTAAAGTAACTTAACTTTCAGTTTTTAACAAGTAAAACTTATAGACAGTATTAAAATTAAAAAGTTGAATAAATTAAGATAGTGGTGTTAGTAGAGGTCAGAAAATTATTTTCTTAAACTTCTAATTAAATTCTGAATCCAATGGTTTACATCAACAATTTAAATTAGTTTTTAATATTAAGTGAAAAAAATTGTATTTAAAAAATTAATAATATTTATGATACAAACATACTTCAATGAAAAATGTCAATCAGTATAAAAACTTATACAAATAAACAAAATATTTTGAATGAACTAAATTAGTTAATGCTTGCTGCATAATTATGTAATTGTAGTAAAGGTGGTGGTAAAGACCATTTATTATAAAGAATGCAAAAACTCATACTGTTATATTTAGTCTTTTTATAAGTATAAATCATCGAATCTCTAGGTTGATCCAGAGTTATGATTGAAAAGAAATGTTTTTCAAGATAATTGTTAAACTAAGAATATCTAAAAGTTCTTCAGTGTTAGGTATTATAACATAAAATGGTTGATAATATGCTAAATGTTAAATACTCCTTACTAAGATAATCAAATTTTATGAATTTAATGTACAAAATATTGGAATTATAAAGAAGCCTAGTACTACAAATTTAAATTATTAACATATATTTTTAAAGTGGAATTTAACAGTAAGAAAATGCTTTACATTTTGCTTGGTTACCCTATATTTTAAGCACTTTTTAGAACTTCAAAGTTTCTGATATCATCTTGTAAATTGCATCTATAAGAGAGAAAATATTTGGAAAAATATCAATACAAATAATTAAGTTGTTGCACAGTATACCTATATGTGTTTATTATTAAAATAACCCTAGTGCATTAATTTACGGAACTAATAATTCTAACTTTGACTTCAGTTTGATGCGACAGTTATACTTGATACTTACCTTAATAAGTACCCAGTAACTTTATTATAGAATTAATTTTAATTTATTTACTGCAAATTTGAGATCAAAAGAATGATTTTTGTTTACTGAGTCATAACACAAACTTAATTCTTTCAATAAATAAATACAAGAAGAATTAGTAGAAAGAATCTAAACATCTGTAGAATATTTAATAATATTGGTCACAGAAGTCACAAAAAGGCCTTGAAACAGTATTTTAAGTAGTACAATATTAAGTTAATGTATTAGTTTACAGTACATCATCTTGTATAGGGATGAAAATAAAAACTTCTCACTTTTTTTTAGAACTAAATATTTAAGTACATTAAAACTTTGGAAGACGGAAAAATTGGACTCTACCTTGGTGAGGTTTTACTGTTTTTATACTTATTTTTAAGTATCAAATTGTTAATTATGTATTCATAAATAAAATATACATTTCTTAATACATACCGTTCCAGCTGTATCAAGAATTTCAAGCATACATTGTTGTCCATCCACTTCAACTTGTTTACGATAACTGTCTTCTATGGTTGGATCATACTTCTCAACAAATATACCTTGCACAAATTGCACTGTCAATGCAGATTTACCAACTCCACCACTACCCAGAACAACTATTTTGTATTCCCGCATTTTATTAGAAATTGTCTCAAATATATACTATATTTTTAAAATGTATCCTTTAGGTGCTGAAACAAAAAATATTTTATCACAATTAGAAAACAACAAATTATTTATTAATATACTGTAAAAAAACCCTTATTCATAACTTATGAAAGTTATATCTATAAAAATAATAATAGACAATGAATTGAAGCGTGGGTGCTGGTAGATACCTAATATTTAATTAAAATAGCCAGCATACAAAGTTCAATGCTTAATTAAAGATCAAATGGTTAGATAGCTACTAATAATATACGCAGGACAATGCCGAGGTAGGCAATACTATTTTACTGGAAAGTAGTTGATGAGATTCCTAAAAAATTGCCTCATTTAGTTTATAATATCACTTAAAATATTACGAAATATATTCTTCAGATACAAAATAAAAATACTGAATAAAAACACTCAAATTAAACAAATTTCAACTGTTTAGGTTTTGAAAACATTTAACAATCTTACCTGTTACAAATCACCTAAATGTATTATATTTAAAAACAAACAATAGTACCTATTAATTAGAAGATATTATATATATATGCAGATTTTACAGTTTAATTTTGCAAAGTATTTAAATTAACACAAGAATAAGGAGTAAGGCTAACAATATAAGACAATAGGCTTAATTATTGTTAGTCAAGATAATTTTAAATGTTTAAATTTAGTTCAAACTATTTTTTAAGTTAAAAACAATTATTGATAAAAAAATTTTAACATAGGTAAATGTTTTTTTTTTGTTTCTGACCGATGTTTTGTAAGGTTTACATTGTTATGGTTAATTTTTAACAAAAACATATTTATGACTCAGATTATTTAAAAAAATATAATATACCAATAGACATATTTTTTAAATTAAACATTGTGCAAGAAAATATTTTTTACAAGCAATTTATACTAGGTTAAGATAATAAATGTTATGTTTGATAATTATATCAAATTCTAAATTTGCACAATATTAACAACCATGATTTTTTTACTATAGAAAATATACAAATAACAATTATTTTTCCATAAAATGAATGATATTTTGTCACAAACCCACCCTTTTTAATGATGTTGATTGTATCATCTATAGGTGTGGGAATTTATTTATAATACATTAATGGGGGGGGGGGGGATTACATGAATAATCACTTAACATTTAACGAATCAATAATGATGAAACATGTTTAACATGATTTAGTGATTATTCTATTACACTTTATTGAACTATTAAATTCATGTATTTTTCATGTAACCCGGCACTAGTGTCGTTTAATCGCCTTACACAAAAAATGAGGGTATAATTGGAGAAATCATCAATTGACCATAAAATTAAACATTTTGGCTCAAAGAATGAACCGCTTTCAAGCACAAACAGTAAGTTGCCGATAATTGCCTGACCCCCACAGGCAATCAAATTACGTTCGGTGATTGGCAACAGTCAATGCAGTTTCGTGATGGCCGACACCAACAAGGGCGCTGTGGTGCCGGTTTTGTGACGAGAATGCCCAAATAAGATAAGTTTTGATTGGCTGAGTAGTTCATTCTTAACGTGAACAAAGTATTGAAGGTCAGGTAATTTTAACAGCATTTATTTTATCCATTATGAAGTTGTTTTACAAATCTTTCATTGAATACCTATGCAGTTGTTGTCATATAACTTGACAGTCAGCAGACCAACTAAGTTAGGCCACTGCCGTGCTAGCAATAATTTTCAGGTTAACTAGTTTTTTTTGATCGGTTATCACTAATCACTCAAAAACCAAAGATAGATATAAAATGAAAATAAGTATGTAATATACAAGTGTTTTATTTCACACACACTTAATTATAGAGATTTAATCTGAAGTTTAATAAATATCAGAAAATGCATAAAACCATTGTTTAGTGCTTGACAGTGGCGCAACACCAAGTAGGTATTCTGATAACGACTGCATATAGTTATGTATATTATTTAACATTACATTTTTACAGATAGTGAGATACATACACAAACAAGTGACGAATGTGCAAAATTAATAGAGAGTGAGTGATTTATATTTTATGTATAATTTAAATATATAAATAGCTAAGTACTCTAGTTTAGAAAATAAATACAAAATGTACCTACCTAAATCTTAAATATAACAAATTGGTATAGAAATTGTTTGAACAATTAAAAAAATATATCATATTCATATATATAAAAGTACCGAGCCCAGGTTGCTTTAATATTGATGACAATTAAATATAATTTGCAACCACGTTAATTTTTGTGATTAATTAATATTTAATTAGGTATAAAAACATTCACGGGAGATCACTGGTGTACCCAATTATTGTGTGTGTGGGGGAAAGGTAGGGAGGTAATCACTTGTACGTCGGTGGACAACGAGACATGCTCAGAGTACACCCTTACCGAGCGATTGATAATAAGTCGATTGTGGAAAAATGGGATATTAATTGGGGAAAAATCAAAGAAATCTTAAATCTTAGATCACCACTCAAGGTAGAGTGATGAATGGTGTCGGGGGTGGGGGAGGTGGATTTATAGCAAAGTGGACCAACAACAAGGGGCGGGGTATGCGAAAATAAATTCATACAGAAACGTGTTTGAGAAGGTACATACCAATTACCAACGAGAATCGATCCGATCACGAAGCGTCGTGAATGCTAATCGCGAATGACCGGAACACGAGAGTAAAAAATTGAAAAAAGCAAATACAACGCTGGCGAGAACAAACGACGGAAACGACGGCGTTTCGGCGTGCTGATAAGACTACGCGATTGACCGGACCGGAGCGGACGCGAACGGCGGATGATTATAGATGGGTGGTTGGGGGGCGGGGAGGGGTCGGAGAGACACGCTAATAACGGAATGATATTATTGAAAATATCGAAACGGAAAATCGCAACAAGTCCGGCCGTGTCGTACCGTAGTTTGCTTACGGTTTTAACAACAATACGAAACGTCGGCCGGACGGGCGTGAGACGACGTCGAGTGTTGGCGTGCCCACCGGTGAACGACGTGAGACGCGGAAAGGAAACGGCACGGCCACCGGAAACGTATCGGATGGGCGGACGATATCCGCCGATCGCGCACAATCGACGACAATAGTCGGAATAACAATATAATAGGTGTGCTTATGCAATAATAACGACAGAACAATAATCCGTGCTACCGTCGTTGGCGTGCGAACGAAAGACGACTTACCTGTGAGCTCGGAGAAGGGTGTAGCGGCGACGGCAGAAGACAGACGACGATCCCATGCAAAGCGGACGCTACCGGGGGAGAAATAGCGGCGGAAAGAAACGAATCGTAATAATGATGATGATTGTAGTAGTAATAATAATAACGACAACTAAACGAGATTAATAACTGTGCGAGTGGTCGGGCGAGTCGGTGTCGGGATCGCGTTATGATGGTATTGTATCGGCGTACACGACCGACGGACGCACTCACACACACACACACACGCACGCACTCACACACACGCACGAACACGCACAAACGTTCGCGCACGCACACACGCGCACACACACACACACACTCAAGACACACACACACAACACGCACCGTGCTATGTGAACGATGCGCTTTTTTACGACCGACTGACTGACTGACGACGACGAGTGACGACTGACGACGACGACGACGACGCCGCCGCCGCCGCCGCTGGTGCTGCTGCTGTCGGTACTCGGTCGAGTCGGCCGTACGTCGGATCGGCGCGACCTCGGCCAAGCGTACAGTGAATCGCTGCGCGGTCAGATAATTTATTATAAATTATAATATTATCGGTTTACTCCGACGTTTATCGAAACAATAAATCTGTTTTTGCTATCGCTGTGTTGCCGCCCCACGGGCGAGTCGCGAACGTCGATTTGGCCTGTACCGTTTTAATTATTCCTCGGGCAAATATTACTATCGTAAGGTGGTTGGTACGGCAATATAAATTATAATGATATCTGGTGCATAGGCGTACAGCAACAAGGGCGTTTAAAACACTCTCAACCGAGCGATATATGTGTGGCTCGTTTTTGGGGAACGGATGGGAAAAAAAGTTGATAAATGAACATGATTACACTAATAATAATAAGAAGAATTCGATAACCGATTACCATGTATTATTATAATTATCATTGTTACATTCGAATATTCGATACGAGTGTATGTATGTATACATGGGGAGCGTGTCGTGCGCGTGTGTGCATCGTCGTGTGTGCGCGCGCACGTGATACTACATCGGACGCCCTGCAAAGGTTACCGGCTACCGTGTTACCGATGCCCCATCCTATCACCGGTAACGAGGCGATACCGTCGAAAAACACGGTTACATTTCTACCATCTGCGTACCCGGTGTCTTGCTGTCATGCCGCCGTACTCGGTATACATGATAAACGTATTATAATATGTTTTATTGTATTTAGTAATATAGTATGGCGTACATCTGTATAGTGTATATAAAACTGTACACTACACTAGAAAGCTCAGATGACGCCCTGTTGGCTGTTTTTTGTAGGATGATCTAATTTTAGATTCTGAGCGGAGCGATGAATGTATTGATTTTACGATGATGTGTGTTTTTTTTTTTAAGTCTGGAGTCTGTCATCACTTTTTAGGGCAGTATAAGTGCTTCGATTTTCTTCAACAGCATCTTTTCTGGTAGGAAAGTGAATCTAGTTGGTACTTCGGTGGGTCAAAAGTAAAAAAAAAATTTTACTGAAAATTGATTTTGGTTTTTGATGTTATTAATAAAAATATATTATAGTCATTTTCACTGAATGTTTATAACTGCATTTTCCGTTCATAGTTTCACCATAATACTTTCAAAATATTTTTACTAGTGTTAAACCATTTATAGGCCTATGTGCAATTTTCGATTATTAATTGTTTTTTTTTAAACTGATGTATGTAAAAATTGTTAGCTCTGTCAAAAAACTTGAGTATGTAAAATAAGGTTTCTCGCAAATTGTTGTTAGTGGAAATTAAAGTTGAGCGGAAGTCCACAATATTTTTTTTAAGAGCGTTAGTGTGTTAAGTTAAAATTTTGACAAAATTGAGAAATGATTTTGTATTTAAAAATGTATTAAATGTTCAACTTTTACAGCTAAGGATTGAAAATGTACCCTAAAAAAATTATATTGTATGGTTTAACCAAATAGGTTTGTTGAAGAATATATTGTAGTTACTACTACCAGAAAATTGTAATACCTACATACAATATTGTATTGTTTTCAGTAGGTAAAGTTCTCTTTCTGTTAGTTGGTGATGGTGAAAAGAACAAAAAGATTTGCAGTGTTTAAAAATTATTACGTAAATACAACAGAATAATCAAACTAACAAAAGTTTAATAGATGGAACAATATTTCTGGTAATTTAATGTTTATTAGATACAATGTATTTTGAAACTGACTATTTTAATTTATATCAACCACTGAAAGATCTATAGAAAGTACAGAACATTTATGATTTCAATAAAACTGTGCAGTAATAACAAAAAATAATAAGGTTAACCCTTAAATATTTCTGAAATTATTAGATAATAGATAGGCCTATAGTTGATACTGAGTAGGCAATGTGGTGATGGATCTAATCGACACTGAAGAAGACTAGTCAGGGAAGAGCAAACTGCGGATTCACTCGTTGAGCGTTTAAGCAATTAACTTTGGTGACGCTGTTTGATATCCAAGGCAAATCAAAGAATTTAATTACCTACCTATTACCTAAGGAAATTCACTACTCACTAAGAATAATGTAGAAATTTAATTTAATTTGTTCACATAAAAAAAAACTAGTTAGTATAATTTAAAAAGCTTCAAAAATAGATTTAGTAGAATGAAATTTTAAATTAAAAAAAATAAGAAAAAGCAAATGAAATAGTCCAGGATATTTTACTGCCAATCATAATAATAATAAAATTTAATCATCTACAGTATTTTATTTTTTTCTTTGACTGAAAACAATAAAGATATGAAGACCATACCCTTGCTAACTGAAGCCACGATGATGGAATTAATTCCTAGTGTAATTTGTACACTTATTTGTAATTGTATTATTGTGCAACTTATTAACTATCATAAAATACCTATGTAGTACGTATTAATCTATTTTATATATCTTTATTCTCAACTATTATGTTTTGCATTAAATAGCATTAAATTATGTTTAATTTGTATTTACCTACCCTTATATTTGTATTCACCTGTTTTATTGACTAATTTTAAATAATACTGTGCAAATATATTTTTCAATAAAAGAAAACTGTTGACTAATTAAATTTGAAATTTTTTAATTTGTGATAAAATATAGTTTAGGACACTTGCTAGACAATTAGTGTTGAATAATAAACTTATAATTTATAATTATGATTTATGTTAATAAATCATTATTGTATATACAACATTTAATTTTTCAAGTAAGAAGTAGTAAATATATTATTGACTCACATAACATAAATACCTATATTAATAGGTTTATTATTATGACAATATCACTCATAATGACATTAAGTATATTATTACATTGTAGAATATATTAACTAAATATTTTACTCAACAATAATAATAGCTTGGTACCTAATGAACATGGTTGTAGTTAGGTATTAACTAATACATACTTATTATCATATTGACTTGTAATTGCAAAAAATTTATAATTTTTAACTTTAATGTTATTATTACTAAACACGTCAAAGACACAACTAAATTGTTTGGTAATGATATCAGAATTTATTTCTGTAACATCATAATTATTTTTTTACTTGCACTAATCTTCTGGTACTGATTATATTTTTATTTTTATTGAGTAATAACAACATTTTATGTTCATTGAAGTTACCCATACCCAAATGGTTTGTAAGGAGAACTGAACACGGTTTATATCTGATAACCAAATTTGATGTTAGACCAACATTTTATAGTTAACAAAATTTGATTAGTTATTGCGACTTAAATTATTGTTGTCCCCGTGGCAACCACTCTTCATGGTCACATTTACTATAATTCGTTTCCCGTAACAATATTTTTTTTTTGTGTAAAACAAAGTTCAACGTAAATATTTAATTCTGTAGCCTAAAAAATCTAAAAATAAACATAAATGCAGCTTTTTATATAGTTATTTTAAGTTCAAATTTAGACAAAATTACATATTATTATTTATTACAAAGAATAACGATTTTAGTTTTCAGCATTAATCTTCGATTCCAAAACAGCCCACTTTTTACATAAGTATACATAATATTTTTCCTGCATCACTGATAATTTAAGAATAATATTAATTCAACCTACCGGTTACCCTTTCAGTAATAATAGTAATAACAATATAAAATATCCTAGACTGACATACCGTCTCCGACCTCCACGAAGAATCGTTTTTCAAATACAATGATATTATATCATTGAATTCAAATTTAATACCATCCATTACAGCGACATTTTAGACGCCTAATGTACAGCAGACCAACATCCACTTACCCGCTTTTTAATTTCATATACCAATATAAATCAAAATATATTTCTGAGAATGTTGATACCTCCGAATTCTAAGTATAAATTCAGAATATAACTTATAAGTTATTACTACTTTGTTATTCATCCAAAATCGATTTGTACATACCTAACAGTTAACACCTAATATTGAACAATTGGTTATACAATTATAGTTTCTTTCATTTGTTTATGACTTTATTACTAGTTGCCAATTGTCAATATTAAACTAGGTAATTATAATTTTTTTTTTTTGATCTTTAGTTTCGGCAACAAGGGTCAATAAGGGCCATTAGCTTTATACATTATATTTAATTCATTATTTTTTTAAATTGAAATCTACCTACCTTCTTACTTTTTAAAACATCGTGTGTAATTTACTAATGTACCTAAAACTATAAATTACTACTAATCTATAGTTGTTTCTGTATAAATTACAAAGATAAAGAGTATATTATAATTGTAATATGAATATAATATTATGATGTTATTTATGTTCCCATTTCATTATACCTTATTGAGTTTATTGCCTTGATAAAATAATGTTTATCAACATTTCAAAATCAAATTAATTAAAAAAATTGTTTTCGTTAAAATTATTTATTTAAAAATTTTAATGCAATGTAGTTCATAGGTGGATATGATATCTATAATATTCATTTGATACATTGAAATTGTGTAGATGTTTAGTTATTACTATTATTATGTTTAGTAAATATATAATTGTATTAATTAGTATGTATTCGCTGGTTATAGACTTATAGAGCTATATCTGTGGAATAGATTAGCTCGAGCTAGAGAATAAGTTAATAATTAAAATATTTAACAACAGAAAATAGTTTTAGTTTTGCACAGCTAATGAACAATGATATTATAAAAAACAAATTGTGTTTACTGAAAGTCGAAAGATCAATAATATCTGTGGGGGCATAATAAATTGTAAAAGTTGTCCTATACTTATATTTAGAAAATTGTATACACTATATAATAATATGTAGGTATAATTTGGGGTAGGTACCTACGTATAATCTATATATTTTAAATTTTTATTTGATTTTACGATCATTATTTATATCATACCTATAGAGTAATAAACGCTTGTATTGAACGGGCTCATATTCAGACTGATTAATAC